TGTATATTAAAATGCCCCCTGCTGTAATGAGAAAGTGAACATTTTTTTTAGAAAGATTGCAAATAGTATTGCATTAATGGGAAGGCTTTATATGGCTGTGCATAGAGAATATTACCATTTATTTACTGACTATACATAAAAGTCGTGACCTTCTTGTATGGAGCAGATCCAGTCAAATACCTTGTTACTAATAAAACATATAGAGTACTTAAAAATTGTGATTTTAGCATTTTGTATTAAAAAAATACTTTAATATAAGCAAGGTTCAAAGAAATTTCTATGTGGAGAGCACATGGCTTATATCTCTATAATCTTATAAATGCAGTCTATATAGGTAGAGATAATGGATTTAAAGGAAGCTGGACAAAACCAAATGATATTTATTCTTTATCCTTACTGGATTATAACTGTAAACCCCTGCAATCTCTATGAACATCCCCCCGCAAATAAGATTTCCTGTTTCTGTGATTTTGAGGCATCCTTTGCCATGTAAGCTTAATTTTCCTGAGATGTGTTCAAAGAATCTCCACAGCTAAAAGAGTTGAATTGATGCTCCTTTTATTGCACCTGTGAATTTGCCCAAGTAATGAAAATGAGGGTAGACCTTCCCTTTTACTTTAGAAAAGAACATGAAAGACAAGAATTAATTCAATTTGAAACAGCAGCATTTAGCTTTTAAATAGCTAACTGTTTTATATATATATATATATATATATATATATATATATGGGCCCTCCTTTCCCTCTTGTATTGAACTGTATTGTCTCCCGTTATATTGTAAAGCGCTGAGCAAACTGTTGGCGCTATGTAAATCCTGTATAATAATAAAATGACATATATATACTGTATATATATATATATATATATATATATATATATACACACAAAAAAAATATGTTGTCATTATTCAACTATTATGGTGATAATTATTTATTATGGTCAGAACTACATAATAACATTGTGCAAAATATGTTTTCTTTTTCAGATAGGTAAATATGAAATGCTGCATATCTTGTATTTTTCTTTCCAGCTGGCGGGTTGAAGCTCTACTCTTTTTGCATGTTTACCTGCCTATTCTTTAGCTCTACTAAGAATAAAAATTATGTTGTTTACACAGCAAAATAGCTCAAGTTGAAATTTACATACAAACCATAATTATGGTAATTTAATAAATTATTTGTGAATGTTCACTCAATAAATTGTGTTAATATTCACTTCATTTATCCAATTATATGCAGAAGGAATGAGTAAACATGACTGGATAATTGAAGCACATCTTCACAAATTTCATTGTGCTTTAATATGTCAGTATAATGAGTCAGATGAATGACTCCCTCATAGCCCCTCCATGTCTGCTCTATCCAAGCAGGGCCATAATAAGTTTCAATAAGAGAAATGGAAAAAAGGGTCCACAGACAAATTGCTTCTGCTATGCTATCTTTTTATGCTCTGTGAATCCAGGGTCATGGATGTGCCCTATACCATATATTTATACAAATAGTTTACCGTTGAAGGGGTTCTCAACATCACACAGATACAAAGTGAATAATCGACCTTCTGGCTATTAGGTCTGACCTGCCCTGTTTCAGCACAGATTTAATTTTTCCCTCAGTCTGGACATAGTGTGTGTCTATAAGATCAGACAGGCCTGGGCACTCACTCCTTGGAGGGAGCACTGACTGACTAGACTGATTCTCCATTGTAGGGCAACACCCACCTGTCTCCAATGAATTTCACACCTGATCAGGAACACTTTCACTGCTAAAAACAGGCACTGTTTGCTTCTTTAGACAGTGACAGCCTGCTCTTTGATCACATTTTCCTCCCTCCGTTTTAACACCTGGGTTGGAACACCCAAACCCTGACCAAATTTTTAAAATTCACTATATGCGCCAGGACGGTGGGGACAATTCACTAAAGGTTGCATGCAATACTGAAAATGTCAATTTACTATTGCTAGTATGCAGGAAATACAGCATTAAAAGACATTAAAGTCAAATCACAGAAAGAAATATTTAAATACATGCGGTAGTTAAGTAGTGGTCGAGGCATATGGTATTTATGGAATGTGTACTGGTTGTTAAGTAGAGGGCGGCCATCGGTGTCCTTAACAACTAGTAACAGTCATAGTTGTTAAGGAGTGGGTGGTCACTGCATCCTTAACAACTGATAAGTCATCAGCTGTCAGCGGGGAATGCAAAAAAAATTCCGGCAATCAAAATTTAAGAAAAAAAATGCGGTCCCCCCCAAAATCCATACCAGACCCTAATCCGAGCATGCAGCCTGGTACATCAGGAAAGTGGGGGGGGACAATTGAGCCCCCCCCTCCTCTACCATACCAGGCCACATGCCCTTGACATGAGGGTTGGGCAGGAGGGGCTCTGCCCCCCCTAAATTGCAGCAACTCAAAATGGTACTCAGTAGTTTATATGGCCTCTATGTACTTGTATGAATGAGACAATGTTGAGGCATGCTCCAACAGATGATGTCCTGGGGTATTTCCTCCCAGCTCTGAGCTCCTGGACAGTTTGAAGTGCAACCTTGCAGTGTTAGATGGACCGAAACATGATATCCCAGAGGTGTTCTATTGGATTTACGTCAGGTGAGTGTGGGGGCCATTCAATGGTATCAATTCCTTCATCCTCCAGGAACTGCCTGCATACTCTCACTCACTACATGAGGCTGGGCATTGTCATGCACCAGGAGGAACTCAGGACCCACTGCACCAGCAGAGGGTCTGAAAATGGGTCCAAGGATTTCATCCTGATACCTAATGGCAGTCAGGGTGCCATTGTCTAGCCTGTAAAGGTCTGTGGGTCCCTCCATGGATATGCCTCCTCAGACCATTACCCTCCAGCAATACAGTGATGCTGAACGATGTTACAGGCAGCATAACATTCTCCACGACTTCTCCAGACTTTTTCATGTCTGTCACATGTGCTCAGGGTGAACCTGCTCTCATCTGTGAAAAGCACAGTGCGCCAGTGGCGGACCTGACAATTCTGGTGTTCAATGGCAGATGCCAATCGAGCTCTATGGTGCCGGGCAGTGAGCACATGACCCACTAGAGGAGGTCGGGCCCTCAGGCCAACCTCAGGCCACCCTCAGGCTGCCCTCATGAAGTCTGTTTCTGATTGTTTGGTCAGAGACATTCACACCACTGGTCTGCTGGAGGTAGGGCTCTGGCAGTGCTTATCCTGTTCCTCCTTGCTCAAAAGAGCAGATACCATTCCTGCTGATTGGCTAAGAACATTCTACGTCCCTGTTCAGCTCTGATAGGGTAACTGCTTGTCTCCTGGTATCTCTTCCATGCTCTTGAGACTGTGCTGGGAGACACAGCAAACTTTCTGGCAATGGCATGTATTGATGTGCCATCCTGGAGGAGTTGGTCTGCCTGTCCAGGTATTGCCTCATGCTACCAGTAGTGACACTGATCCTAGCCAAATGCAAAACTAGTGAAAAACAGTCATAAAAGATGAGTAGGGAAAAAAATGTTAGTGGCCTCCACCTGTAAAACCATTCCTGTTTTGGGGGTCATCTCATTGTTGATCTTCTAGTGCACCTGTTGTTAATTTCATTAACACCAAATCAGCTGAAACTGATTAACAAACTGTTACTTAACTGACCAGATCAATATCTGAGGAGTTTAATTGACTTGCTGCTATACTCTGATTAAAAAGTGTTCCATTAATTTCTTTTGGACCAGTGTATTTTTGAAGCTTACAAGGGGATATGGTGAATTTTTTTATTTAATTCAGGTATGAAGGTGTGACGGAAGCATAGACAGGACAGAACACACAGAGAAGATGGAGAACACACAAAGCTTTATTGAGACAACAAAATGACAGACACTCAATGGGGAAATGGCAGAGAGGGTGATCTGTGCGCAAACTAGGGACGATTCCTGGCACGGGGGGTCTTGCCAATAGGGGGATGACAGAGAGGAGGGGGCTAAGATACTTGTAGCCCAGCACCAAGGGCAAAGAAAGAGTCTCTGTGGTGGATTGTAATCTCATAAGGGGCAAGGGTCATCACAGGAACAGTTCGGGTAAAACAGGGGATCGCCCCAGCAGCAGTTCAGGTAAAACAGGGGAGAGCATGTGCCCACGGATTCAACAGGGTGTCTGGTCTCCCAGGGATAAGAAAGTAAGACACAGATACCTGTTGGAGGTCCAGGACAAGCAAGGGGTCTCAGGCAGGCTGGCTTGTGCAGTCTTCTCCCCCTTTGGACTGGGGTCTTCAGCAGCAGGCGAACAATCTCCCCTCTAGGCTGAGGTCTTCGGCGACAGGCAGGTGATCCACCCCTGGACTGGGGTCTCGGGCAACAGGCAGGCGTTCTTCACGAGGGTCCCGCCTCAGCTGGGCTCCCTCTGTGACTGCACAGCAGACCGGGGCTTTCGGGCAACCTACCCCTGGGCAGGGGTCTCGGGCAACAGGCGGCAACCTACCCCTGGACTGGGGTCTCGGGCAACGGGCGGGGGTCTCGGGCAACAGGCGGGCAACTTATCCCTGGGCAGGGGTCTTGGGCAACAGGAGGGGAACTTACCCCTGGACTGGGATCTCGGGCAACAGGCGGCAACCTACCCCTGGACTGGGGCTTCAAGCAACAGGCCAGCAACCTACCCCTGGGCAGGGGTCTCGGGCAACAGGTGGCAACCTACCCCTGGACTTGGGTTTCGGGCAACAGGCGGGCAACTTACCCCTGGGCAGGGGTCTTGGGCAACAGGCAAGCAATCTCCCCCCTAGGCTTGGCAGAGCCTGGTCACGAGGGTGAGCTCCCTCTGTGACTGCACAGCGGATTGGAGTCTCGGGCAACAGGCGGCAACCTACCCCTGGACTGGGGTCTCGGGCAACAGGCAGGCAACCTACCCCTGGGCAGGGATCTCGGGCAACAGGTGGGCAACTTACCCCTGGGCAGGGGTCTCAGGCAACAGGCGGGCAACTTACCCCTGGGCAGGGGTCTCGGGCAACAGGCAGGCAATCTCCCCCCTAGGCTTGGGGGGTCCCAGGCAGAGCCTGGTCATGAGGGTCTTGCCTCAGCTGAGCTCCCTCCGTGACTGCACAGCGGATTGGAGTCTCGGGCAACAGGTGGCAGCCTACCCCTGGGCAGGGGTCTCGGGTGTGGGGTGGTGAGCGGCTTGCAGACCCTCAGCGGCAGGCGTCTCCAGACAGGGACAACCAGCAGTCAGCGTTCCAGGGACGATCAGCGATCAGCAGACAGCAGCAGCTCCCCAGGCACTCAGCAGCGGATGGCTTCCAGGGACACGCAGCCGCGGACAGTGTGCGGGCTCTCTCAGCAGCAGCTCTCAGGGCACTTGGCAGCAGACAGCTTCCAGGGTCACGCAGCCACGGACAACGTGCGGGGTCCCTCAGCAGCAGCTCTCAGGACACTCAGCAGTGGACAGGGTGCAGGGGTGCTCAGTAGACAGGCTTGCAGGCTTGCAGGGTCTGACCTGTGGGGTCTGACCCTTGAGGAGGGGGGCTCATGCAGAGCTGCGGAGACTCCCACCCTGGGACATTCAGCGGAGGGCAGCAGGTACTCCCAACCCTGGGGTATTGCAGAGGGCTACAGTCCTGACCTTTTGGGGGGTCTGCAGGGTGCGCAGCGGGGATGGCTGTGGAGGCTCGGTCCCCCCCCACCCGAGCCTCCCAGCGGCTTTCAGGGAGCAAGATGATTCCAACAGCGTGCACAGGAACAAAGAGAGAGGGCTGCTTCTTGTGCCAGTCTTTTTAAAGCCATGTGGGGACGCTGCTAGGTTGCCTCGGCAACGGCCGGCCCAGCACTGCTCATGGAAGCTACAAGGACAGAGGAATGTGCAAGGGGGGAGGGAGGGGTGGAGGGATATGGCTGAGTCACAGCAGGCAAAGGGGGGTGGGGGAAGCATGGGCACTCCATGACAGAAGGGTTATGTTTTCAATCACTTTGCTAGAGGCAGACATGGGCTTGCCTAATTGGGAATCAAATTTATTTTCTTCTGTTGCCACTAGTAACACTATGAGGGGAAGATGGTCAACACATTCAGGTGCTTCTTTCAGCACATTCTTAAAGCACTACTTTCAGGACTCTTTTAGCACTAACGTCCACAACCTTTGAACTAAAAGACAGTATAACAAAAACAGGTTATGGTGAGATGGGTTTTTTTAGCAAAAAACCCTTACTCTAATGTAGGGATGTCCAACCCACGGCCCATATGAGGCCCATGAAGTATATGTATGGGGCCCAACACAAAATTGTAAACTTACTTAAATTTTTTAATTTTTAACATTGTTTTTGTAAAAATGCATTTACAATTAGTGAACACATGCAGCAGAAAAAGAATTTGACAGTGTCTCTTTACTGAACTTTTATAAGTTTTATCTTCCCAAAGAAAAAAATCCCACTCTTCACAATCATGCTTTATTCATGTCATCCGTTTTTTTGGCAGCACCTATATTTGTGAGCAATTATTTTCAAGGATGAAGCACATGAAGGGTAAAATTAGAACCAAAATTTTTGATGAGCACCTTGAGAATTCTTTGAGAATTGCTACTACATCTGTCGAACCAAATATTGAAGTGCTAGTTTATCGAAAACAGTGTCAGATATCACAGTTGGGGTGGTCAAAGGCGCATTTTGATATATGCAGAAAGGTCTGCCTCTAGCTATCCAAACGTATTCCTCCCAGTTACGGACATCCTGCAGGACATGGCCTTGGAGGAAAGGTCATATGATTTCCAGTAAACCAACAGTGGATGGATATTCTGTATCAGGCTCTCGTTGCCTTTAGAGGAATGTTTCCAAGCAACGTGAATAAACCAAATAAATTAAGACGTTCTAAGTGCAGCATTTATTGATTAAATGGAATAAATAAAAGAAAGCTATGCACTCACATGTACAGGTGCATTGTTAACCGGAACCAGTATGTACAGCCTATGTAATTCTGCAAATGGCCAACGTGCGTTCCAAGCCTCGCTCTCGCTGGGCAGGACGTGACGTCACCGGAACCTGGAAGTGACGGAATCATACTTCGACATACGCTTCGCCTGGCCGTGTCTTCAGGAAGTGACTGCTAATCTAGGGGTTTGTGAAGGTGTTATTGCAGTTGTGTTTGAATGAAATTACAACTGAATACCAGTTACAAATTCCAATAATACTAAACTGCTAACATGATAATTTGATAGAGGTACCTTTTGCTTTTTCTGTATGTTTCATCCAGTGCTGTTTCTATCTGTGTAAATTCTTATAAACTCAGAAAGTACTAGGCTTATGAAGCTGAGACCCATAGTAATTGCATTGTATGTCCTGGTTATGAAGATAATCTTGACTACTAAACTACTGCCATGGTTACTCTTCTTCAATGCAGCTCTAATTATTCAACTACTGGGGAATAGCATGTCAATGATACTGGAATCTCTTGTCAGAAACATTTATTTTTTAAAGCATGTGTGCTTAATTACACAGACAGAATAAAAAACATACACTCCAGTATGACCCCTTTTACTAGATAGGGAGTGCTCTTCTTTTCTTTATCTCTTTAGCCTCTGATTGTAGTTTTCTATTCCAAGTGAACGCACTGCATAAACGAAAACCACAAATTACAGTTTCAGGTCCCATTTACATGTCAATGACAGGGTAGCATGCACAATACTCCAATGCTGTACGGCGTTGTGGATCTATTCATTTTTAATTGCACCCCAATATACTAAGACAACATACCTATGCTGTAGCTCAGGGCTGCTGTTAGATATCAAAGCACCCCGTGCAGCCTACCTGACAGCCCCCCACTGCCTGAGAAAATATCAAAATTATATTTATGTAAAAATACACTAAAAACTTTATTAATGTACACAATCCCAAATTCCTGTTAAATCTAAATAATAAAACTGTACTGAGTTAATAAATAAAGCTGTGTGTGTAATTGAGGTCTTGGTGCTCATTCACATGGGTGCTGTGGCCTGTAGAGTGTGAATCAGTGGTTTTGTTTATGTGGCTGGAGCTGCTTGGAGCTGTTTGCAGGCAACCTATGTTACACTATGGAAATGCTGCAGGTCCTAATCTGACAGGAATATGGGTGGAGGTGTACAGCCCTGAACACAGACAGTGAGCATTCAGGGCCACTTCCCCACACATGCACACCTGTTAGATTAAAACCTGTGTTTATACAGCTGCTTTGTCCCCAAAGCGTAACAGGTGGCTCCAGCCACATGAACAGCCCACTCATTCATGCTGTACAGGCCAGGACCTGTGTGAATGTGGCATTTTTGACAATTTTTTTTCCTTAGCCCGTTAATTTCAATGGGCTGCCTAACGTGTGGGAACATGCAACAATACAGCAGGCATATTATTTTAAAAATGTGTTGCACCTAACCACACGGTGGTGTGGTACCATATGTTTTGGTGGCTGTGAATGCATCTGTGTTTATTAATTGTCTGGAGGTGCAATTCCTGGTGCCTGCACACATCTGCAAAGGGCATTGCATTTCTTTGCACGTGTTGATGCACCACAAATGGTGTGAACAAGTCCTAAGGGCTGGTTCACACTATAGAAATGCAGTCTAGATGTGTTTTGGATGTGTTTTTGCATGCACATTTTTGACGTTTTTTTAGCGTGTTCAGGTTAATTTTTGATGTGTTTTTTACACGTTCCAGTGCATTTTTATGCATTCCAGTTGATTTCCCCCCCCATTTTCTTCAATTTAATTAGGGACATGCACATTTCAGTGCATTTCTGGTGTGTTCTGGTGCATTTTGATGCATTTTACTGTGTTACAGTACAGTTCTGTGCAGAAAAAATGCAGCCTGTTCTACCTTTTTTTTCTACAAGCTGAACGCACTAAAACTGCAAGCACTGATGTGAACCACAACATTGACAATCATATAACCTACTTTCTGTGCATTTTGGATGCAGAAAAAAAGCAGTTGAAACGCATGTAGTGTGAACTGGCCCTAAAGGTTATTATAGGTAAGGGAATAGGACTGACCAGGAATTGTGAATGCAATCAGACTAATGGTGAGATACAATTAGGAATCTTATAATAATGCTATATTTGAGCTGTAGGTGATAAGAAATGGGCACATTAACTAGAACAAAAATAAATAGTTATAAATAGATAAATAAATAGTTAAATAAAAAGAGTTGAGCAGTGAACAAAGTTGCAATCAACTATAAACAGAAGGAAACTTGAAAGTGTAAACTTGGTGCAGGAGCGCCTCTAATCACAACACTGAGCAGCTGTGTGATAGAATGACAGGAGGCTAACAATGGAATTTAGCAGCTGCAGATGGGATTGTCAGCTGCCCAGACCCCCGCTGCAGCTGATGGGGCTGGGCCCCGACAGGAGGGCCAGGGGTACCCCCTTATCAGCGGCCCTACTGTAGCTAGCCACAACTTGGAGTAATGCAGTAGTGTGTTGCGTTGTATGAGCCAACTCCAGCTTTGTCAAAGGAAACAGGAAAAACAGAGTAATAGCAAAAGGCCTGTGAAACAACTGCACTGAAAGTTGGTATATAACAATTCATATGCAAAATTGATAACTTTTTTAGTTTTTGGTAAATAATGCATATGATTAATATTCTGTTGCACATATCAGTTCTGTAGAGTAGTAAAGAAGGTTAGCCTTAAAGTGGAGCTCCACTCTAAAGGGGAAGCTCTGCTTGTTTGCTCCCTCCCCCCCCCTCCACTGCCACATTTGGCACTTTTTTGGGGAGGAGTACCTGGTTTTGACAGGTACCCACTCCCACTTCAGGCTCAGTTTACTGCGGGTCCTTCCTCCCCGCAGTCTTCTGAGACACTTCACAGGTCCCAGAAGACTACGGGACCATTCACAAAACACAGCATGACTTGCACAAATGCAGTAGGAAACCAGCTGTGAAGTAGGGTTGCCACCTCATCCCTTTAAAGCCGAACACATATTAATTACCCAGGTTCTGTGGCTAATTTAATGCAGATAAGGCATTAAGTGAGTTTAATTACCACCCTAATCAGCCACATAACCTGTGTATTTAATATGTGTTCGGGTTTAAAGGGGGGTGAGGTGGCAACCCTACTGTGAAGCCACAAGGGTTCACTTCCAGTTTCCCTTACTTGCTATGCCGGTGCCAGGAACTTGGGAGGCTAGTGAAGAACTATCCCAGGTAAGGATGGCGCTGGACCCCTGGACAGGAGAGTGTCCTTATAATTGACACAAATCAGATGTTTGAAAATAATTCAACCACCTGACATTCTTCTAAAAGAAACTTAAACTGAAAAAAATCCAGAGGCTGTCATCTTTGCCTATAGTAGGCTTATGGAAAGTTAATGCACAGACTCAGACAATGTCGGGCAAGATTTCTGCACCAAGGCTGTAAACAGCAATCACAGAGCACCACTGTCAGAAAAAGTACCTAGGTAGGGTTATTTTTTAGCTTATAATACATTGGGAGGCTAGGGAATGTGGCTAAAGAGTTTTGTTTTCTAAAATTAACCTGTTCTCTGAGCACTAACTCTTAATTTACATTAGGCTAGAATATTTAGAATAGTTACATTTTTTTCTTATATCAACTTAACTTCAACTTTACTGAATAAACCTGTTAAAGTCAATGTTATGTACAAAAGAGAATGACTTTGGGGGTTATTTACTAGAACTGAAGCATGCAATATCTGGTGCACCTCTGTATAGAACCCAATCAGCTTTCAGGTTTTATTGTCAAACTTAATTGAACAAG